TGAAGGATAATTTATTTTGCTGTGCAGGTTTTTAAAAATTTAGATATTTTTTTTTCTTCATATTAGTATTTCATATGCATGTTAAATTAATTTTTATAACTGACAAAAGGTTTCTATTTACCTTTCATATCACAGGTATTCATGTAATAATTAAATTTATGTATTTATATTCTCTGTTTAAACTCAGCATATGAAAGAAAATGCATATTTAAAAGCAGAAGATGATTTCTAAAGAGTCAAATTTGAAATATGAATTGTTCACAAAAATAAGAATTACCTTAGTTTCATGTACCACTTTGTTATAGTAAGGAAGAACTGAAGTTCTTATGTAAGGTGTGCATTAAAATATTCTTAATATGTACTTCATTGCATTGGCATGATTAAAATGCTCATGTATTGAAAATCCTTGTTGTTTTTACGGCAAACTTACAAGAGCTCCTGCTTTTTTTTCTCTAACAGATATAAGCTTACCAAAGTCGGCAACAATATGCTACACAGCTGCCTTGCTCAAAGCAAGAGCTGTCTCTGACAAGTAAGTGAGCAATGACTGGTGCGGTACCAATGGCCTCCCTGACTTCAGCTGTGTTGCCTCTGAGGGCTTTCTCTGGAAGTTTCCTAGTCTATGAGACTCCTGCTTATGAGCATGCATTTCCCAAATCCTGCTGATCTTTTCTTTCACTACTAGAAGGAGGAAATGTGTATCGCAGGTATTGTAAGGGTGTGGGTTGCCTAAAGAAGGATTTATTATTGAAAGCCTGTGCTTCTGAGGTGACTTTTTTCTTTTTGTCAGACAGTAGATACCAAAAGGCCTGCTTGGAACTTACACAAAAATGCTGTCCTTTTGTTGTTGTTGTTTTTTTGTTTTTTTTTTTTTCTTTTTTTGGATAGTCCTCTTCTTTCTGCAGTCCACGACTGGATAATGCAGTGTGGCCTAGGGGATGTCATCTCACAGTCTTTGCCTTATCAGTTCCACATCAGCTCCCCACTCAGAGTCTGTTTCCTTTGAGATGCCATCTCAGTGGGACAGTGCCCATTTTGTTCAGGCAGGTGACTATGGCATGTAGAATTTCTGTAAACATCCAGGGATGACTGGCAGGTGAAAGAGTAGAGATGGCTTAACTGTTTTTGAGTTCATAAACGCTTCCACTTCCCTGATACAATTCCTCTTGTCGCATTGAAAAGCAGAGAACAGGAAACAGCCTCTGCTGTGTCAGACAGGTTTGCTGTTAAGTGTGTGTGCACTTTAAGACCGAAGTAATTTTCTTTCATTCTTTTTTATCCTGTAGATCGCCAGTACCTACTGCAACATCTTTTCTCCCTACACAGCGACTCCAGCTTGGGAGGGCAGGGCCAGGGTTGTCACAGCTTCCCCTGTGGTGTCTGCCTGCCAAGCACAGCTCTGGAGTTAGCCCTGGGTGTGAGGTGAGAAAGAGATTGCATGGTCTGGTTTTTTTCATTCACTGGGCAGGTGTCTCGCCCGCAGTTTGGGCATGCACCCCCTCTGCCGGGAAGGCCCAAGCAGGCTCGCCTGCGGCTGAAGCTGCAAAGACTTAACCCTCCATCGCAGCACTGACATTGGGTTGGGAGCCTCCTTTAAAATTCTCCCCAGTTCTGTTTTTAACCAAGTGCGCTCTTCTGTAACCTGGTTTTCTCTTTTTCCTACACTATCTGCCCTTGTCAGTCCTTCCCCCACCCCTCACCTAAGCAGGTACTTCATAGAAAATTTAGATTAGCTATTTAGACAGAGAGACTTGACAGCTGAATTCAATTCCTGCCTCTATTAGATGCAAGCACGCTTTCTGCTTCTGCTGGGGTTTTTGCTGGCCTCCATCTGAGGGGTCACTCAGAGGTTCCATGTAGTGGAAGTTTGGAGAGCTAATGCCATTGGCTCGCTATGGTTTTATGGGCCCTTGATGTGTAGATGCCTTTCTGGATTGATGCCCAAGCAGTGGTCCCAACTGGATGGTGTTTGTCTTTCTGCTTTTCAGATTCTCTCCCGAGGCTGCATCTCGGCGGGGGCTGAGCACAGCAGAGATGAATGCAGTAGAGGCCATTCACAGAGCTGTGGAATTTAATCCTCACGTGCCAAAAGTGAGTCTGTGCAATCCCCACAGGAGCTCGTTATGATAGCAGAGAAAGCGTTCACTTAACACCATGTCATGTCTCCAATATGCCCAGCTTTAAAAAAATGAATTGCAACCAATAAGTGTTGAGGTCCTGTAGAGTCTATAGGCATTAAGTCTCTTTCTAAAGCAAAAGCTACACTCAAGAGACCTTGGGACTGATTTTTGGACCTCACCTAATAAGGTATATAAATAGACCTTTTTAGGCAGGACAGGTCTGAAATTAGAAAAAAGTGAAGCTCCCAAGAGTTTGATGCATTTGATAGGAATTTCACACCAGTTATAACCTTACATAGACCAAACTTGGGAAATAAATTTTGTTGTGGATAAAACTGGTAAAAATACTTACTAATGTGACAAATCTTTGTAAGTAAATAGTTATTAATCAGTATTGGCAAAAAATAATAGGGAAAACCTGAAAGTATGTAGTATTTTGATTTGTGATATCATTCTATTAGGTATATGTAGTTAGGAATACTTGTCTTAGCTGTTAACCATAGGATTCATCAATTTGTAAATCCCAGTATTACCCATATTTTTTTCTGAAGTAGATTTTAATGGAATCAGGAGATGGATGTGTATTTTTGATTAACCTGTGTTTGAGTACCTGCTCTGTGGTAGGTATCTAGATTAGGGTCAATTTCAATCTCTTGACATTAAGCACATCCTAACTTCTAAGAAACTATTCTTACAATTCATATCGGGTATCATAAGGCCTAACTTTCTTAGAAAACTGTCTGATGAAAACTTTCTGGAGAAAAATGACCAAGGACAGCTATTTACTTGTGTTGTTGCAGTACTTAAGCAAAAGGTGTGTGTGTGTGTGTGTGTGTGTGAATGTGCGTGTGTGTGAATGTGCATATTGAGATGATTTATGGAGTTACCTACTGTAATTTATTTTGTTGGTGTCTAGAGTGACAGAGATAAGTGATCTAATATCATTCCTGAGGTTTTACTCAAGGTCATCTTTTCACATAATAGGAAATTGAAGAGCCATGCACAGTGCCATATTTGCAGAAGGATGCATTTATCCACTCTATTGCCAGCAGATAGTAACCCACAAAATATTTGCAGACTTAAGTATTATATATAGTGTGCTATAAATATGTATTCATATATTTTACTTAAGCTAAAAATGCTTATTGAATTTTGACTAAAATTTAAAACTAATCATAAAAATATTGTCCTGAGTTACAATAAACTTAGGTCATCCATCAATATTTATTGAATACCATTCTATAATGACAGAGCCAGTCTATGTGCATAAATAAGGCTCTTTTAGAAGTAGTTATTGAGCAGAAGAGTTCTGCATTCTAAGGCAAAAAAGAGTTCAGATTCTGGCTGTTATTAATCAGACATGAAACCTTGGACTTAGCACTTCTGCTCAAAAGTTTCCCCTCATCTTTCAAATTAAGATAAAAATATAAGCCCTGCCTGTCTTCTGTGATAAATATCAAGTGAGATAATGTATTTGAAATTCTTGAAAAACACTGGACCATGTTTCTGTTAATTATTAAAACAGTTGATACTTGATTTGTTGGAGGCCCCTCAAGTTTAGAAACCAGGTTTTAACTTTTCCAATAATGTTAACTAGAACCTAAGAATCCCAAGTGCAAGATAGAAAATCTGTATAATTCTTGTTGGTTAGATATTTTGATTAGTCATTTTATCCTATGATAATGGTCTGAAATGGTTAATTGAGCCTCTAAAATGTTATAAAAAGGCCCTTAGAAATAGTTCCTGGAAGAATTTGGCACAGTCAGTTGGCATTTCTGCAAAACAGAATTATCCTACAAATGGAAACATTTCAAATATTTTTTACTAATATATATTTTAATTGACACATAGTAATTATACATATTAATGGGGTACAGTGAAGCATTTCAATGCATGCATATAGTGCAAAGTGACCAGATCAGGGCATCTCTACCATCTCAGATGTACATCATTTCTTTGAGAACATTTCAAATATCTGATGTCACTCCATTTTCTAATCAGGAAGTAGAGAAGTCAGAGTACCTAGGTAAACTGATTTTATACCCTTTGCTTTGTTGGTAATCATAGGAAGGGGAAAAAAAATCTCTTCATCTGTTCACATGCCACAGGGAAAGGTCCTTGTGATTCACTGGCCTCATCTGTTTGGAATTACCCAAGAACTCTGGTGCATGGGTATGGTATACAGGATGCTCTAGGCATCTTTACACATGTTCTGCTATTCATTGGATGACTTGTAGGCAGAGAATAACCTTAAGTCTAATGAGACATCAGTGAAGGCTTTACACTTTGTGTAAAAAAAGACCTTAAAGACCATCTTGGTCACCTTCCCATCCTAAACGTAGCTCTCTCCTCATAATGATATTTTAATTATTGATTTCTGTACTGAACCTCATAGGCCCTCTCATTTACTTTTCATAACAACATGGTAAAGTGTATCATTGCTATTATTCGTATTACAATATGAGGACAAGTTAGAAAGGTTAAAGAACCTGCTCATGGTCATGCAGCAGGGTTATCTGCTCTTAAATATCACCTTTCATTTCATCTCAGATCCTACCAGTGGGCAGAGCCTAGACCTGACCCTTCAAATGATGATAGGCATGTTGCATTCCAAGGCATTCAACTCCTTGTGGACAATCCAGGTTTCTTCAAGATGGTAAACATGTCCATGGCTTGTTTTTATCTATCACAGGGAATTCTCCTGGGCCTCCATAGTTATTTTTAATATCTTCATGCTCTTTTTGCAGCCTACTTAGACTGAGGGATAAATATCCAATAGAGAAGCTGAGAACTGCCTGCCATTGCTCTCCAGCATGGTTTAATCTGGTATCCCATTAAGCAAAGGTATATTGGAAATATTTCACCATCAGTGCTCATTATTATTTACCCAGGAGGGTGACTCCTAGGAACTCTCTTCATCTGCAAACATGAGGAGTAGGGAGTAAGTGTCGCTCCTCACTACGCCACTGGTGAATCAATAACATTTGCGAATAGCCACCCATCTCCATTCTGAAGGAGAGCCTTTAAAGTAGTCAGTCAGATGCTAACCACTAAGATTTCTGAAGTTTTAGGTTATAGCAGATTAGTAAGGAGGAAGCAGGCACATGGACTCAGCCTTACAAATCCAATTGTTAACTCCCCTGCCAAAACATTGCATCTGTGTCCGCAGCGCCCACAGAAAAAGGTATTTTAATGCTTTTTTATGCATTTTATGCCTTAGAGGGTCCTTTGGGACCCTTCATATTCTGACCCAACTTGTGTTTCATTTTTCCTAGCTCCTTCTACACTCTGTTTCTTTGCAGAAGCAACCTCCCCTTCTTCCCTCTTTGTTTTCTCTGGGAAATCCCACTTTTGCTCATTCCCCCACCATTAAAGTCACCACCAAGAAGCCTGTCCTTCCTTATCATCAGAATTATTCTCTCTCCTCTGTGGTCTCTTGCTGTACTGCCATGATTATGCACTTGCTGTTTACCTTTTTTTTTAATGGCAGTTGTGTGTTTTAGGATCTTGATGCTGTTAATTTTTAAGAACTGAGTAAACAGTTCATGAAAAAGAAATATTTAACCTATTTAGAGGGTTTTCTTCCCCCATTTAATGGAAACAAAACTGAAGATTTTTATTTAAAGTGAGTATTCTCCACTTTTGAAAGAAAAATTTACTCATGTGGTGCTGGATGTATGTGGAACTACTCTCAATTCAATATCTTCATCTTTGTATTATAGTTTATTGGATTTTGGGTTGGTTTTTTTTTTACCCACAAATATGTTTCCTCACCTGCCAATTTAGAGATTCCCCTTGGGTCAGAGTCAGGGAGACATTTCTGTCAGTGACTCATTATTTCATACAGACCTGATTAAATAGTGCTTACGTGTTATTGGTGTGCTATGTCTACACCACAAGCACTTCCCTGTGAGGAGGCACATTTTTTTTTGAGCATGTTATATTAATTCCTTCAGGGTGGCAAAGATAAACCTTTACTTTTTGTCAAGTTTCCAAAAAAAAAAAAAAAATGGAGGCTAAGTATTTGTTATAGTCAGTATTAGATACTCTTTTTCCCTCGATATTGGTGTCATAAAGCAACTTCTTTTTATGTTAAAAAAAATCACTCATGATCCTAGGATCTACTCATATTTAAAATAATTTTATTTTAGTCTTTTTATGCATTTTAATGCTTACATTTTCATATTTTAAAAATTAATGTATAGTTTTTGGACTATGTAGGTATTAGGGACATATGTATGGTTTCTTGGGGAGAATCATAAGATTTCTAGAGATTTTGACCTAAAAAGATCATCCTCCAACTTAACATTAAAGCCAAAGTCTTTCTGTCTATGTGCCTTTGACTCTTTTAAAGATGGTCTCTATAAATGTTTTCTGGATACTTCGTGGGGTGGGGGATGGGTGTGTGTGCGTTAAATAAAAATAACATGTAATGTGAATTCTACCCCTTAAATTTCTTAGCATACAGTACTGTTAGCTTATGCATGTTGTTGTACAGTAGATCTCTTGAAGTTCTTCATCCTACATGACTAAAACTCCATTCCCATTGAACAACATCCTATTTCCTTCTCATCCCACCTCCTGGCAACCACTATTCTAACTTTGCTTCAGGGAGTTTGACTACTATAGATATCTCATATAGGTAGAATTACAGTATTAGTGACTGGCTTATTTCACTTAGTGTAATGTCTTCCAAGTCTTCATTGGTAGTATAGAGCAGGATGCCCTCTTTTTAAGGCTGAATAATATTCCATTACATCTTTTTCTTTTTGAAAAAATTGGTAGTTGTAGATGGACAGAATGCCCTTATTTTATTTATTTTTATGTGGTGCTAAGGATCAAATCCAGTGCCTCACACATGCTAGACAAGCACTCTACCACTGGGCCACAACCCCAGCACTTCCATTACATTTTCTATATCCATTCATCTGTCCATGAACATTTAGGTTGTTTCCACCTCTTGGATGTTGT